GTATTTCCTCTTAAAAGTTCCCTTCACTGACTCACAAAGCTACTGTGGCCTATTGCACAATGATGCTTCCTAGTAGTTAAAGATACTTTGTTGTCAAACATACTGACAGGTGAACCCCGGCTCTGAAAATAACTAGATGGGAGAGCTCAAATGACAGAGAGATTCAAATGTCTTCATGACAATGTATCCCCATAGGTTTGCTTGAAGAATTAAGTGAAATGAGATCAAAGTTCCTTTTGGTCATTTGAAGCTTGCCAGTGCAATTTGTCACATACCACCGTGCTCACAGTATTCACTTACCATTTTCTTTAATAAAAAAGCAAGTAGAGTATCATTTTCCCCAGTGGTACAATTTAAGAGGTGACTGAAAGGAGATGAGTCCTAATCAGACACAGCAGTTCTAAGGTGATTAGGATAGACTCTCACAGAAAGACCTAAGATGATTAGGCTAGACTCTCATAGAGAAGACAGCCATCTACAAGCCGCAGTGGGGAAGCCAACAAGACTTCTACCTTCCAGAACTGTAAGAAAAGAAAACCTTTCTGCTGTTAAGTCACCCAGTGTGTGGTCCTGTTACAGCACTCCTGGAGAGTTAATGTAGAGTCAGCCTTCCCTAAATGAAAAAAAGCAAGGAAGGGAAGATTTATTCTCCATCTACAAATGCCACTCAAAGTCACTCACAACTTAATGTGTTTGAGAAAGCCAGGCTTGTCTAATATCATACAGATAGTACCTACTCTCAGAGAAAACCTTAGAATCTTCGTGTTCTTGCTTCTTTATCATCTCCCAACCTTCCTTGTAATCATCCTGCAGGGACTAAAGGCTCCCACCTAAAATCTATGACATGTTTCCTTTGGGAACTTTTGGTTTAATATTTTCAGGCTACTGTAGACTACAGAGTAAATAAAACCATAGAAATTAAAACCAGAATTAAGAGGAGACTATCGTAGCCACACACCAGTGGGGAAGTGGGAAAGACAGAGAGCTTCAGAGACATCATCCCACCACTCTGTACATCTCTGGGCACCCGCCACAGTCCTGGTCTCCCACTCACATCCATAGACACGCATGTCTACTGAGTTGATAGTGTAGTTTTTCTGCTGCTGATACAGCCAAAGAAGTCAGCCAGCTGGAATTTCAACTGTTTCCCAGATGGAGAAGAGGGGGAAACCTCACGTCTTCTCCACAGTTCTAGGAATTCTGACTGTCAGTGAGTTAGTCTATAATATATGTATTTGTGTGTGTGTGCATGCATTCATATATATGTTTATATTCAAACAAGTATTTTATATATATATATACATATATATATATATTTCACATATATTGACCAAATAATGCAGTGTTAGAGGTCCTGAGTGTCTTTTAGCTTCCCATTTAAGACCAAACAATGGTTCAAACAAACTATGGGAGCCGAACAAGTGTTTGTGGGAACTTCTCTTTAACTACTTCATCCAAGAAAGAATAGGTAAGCGTTGGAAACAGTAGCATGACCCACAGCCAGCTAGGAGACAGATACAGGAGCAAAGGAACAAGACAAAGCCTCCAGATGCCCAGTCAGTCAGTCTGCAGAGCTGCCTGTGAGCTGTGAGCACAGTGATGCAAGTGGAATGTGCTAGAAGCTTCTAGAAACCTCCAGCTCAAACAGCAGCTCAGCTGTGGACAGAAAGGCTACAGTGATCATTCACTGAGATTTTGGGTTTGGGTGTTTGTGGTCACTGTTTCTTTTTAGAGTAAACACCTTCATCTTAAGGAATGTTCTGGCTGAAACCCTCTTAGTTATATATTATGTTTCGATGCATACATTTTGGTGAAACCTTAGCCTATAAATAGGTCCTTTTTCTTGCTTTGAAGCTTCTGTACACTAGGAATTTGGAAATTCTACTGAAAAGAGTCCACTTCTAAGCTGTGGTTTCTACTGTCCTCATGCATCTTGGAGGACTGTGACAGGAAAGCCCAGTATTCTCTTTCCCATTGACGTGTTTCTTATAACAATGCAGATTAGAGGAAGTGGAGCCAGGCAAGTGTTCCTGTGCTTCACCCAAGCTTGCACATGGGTGTAACAACAACCAATATTTTAAATGCCCAACTTACTTGCCAGGTAGCTATTTTTGCTCAGGCACTATGCTGTTTCTATTTGTTTATGAATCAATGGCAAACTCATATCCTCGAAATCTACTGTGCTCAAGTCCTTATGTCCTTGCTCCTCCCTGTCTCTGTCCCATGGCCTCAGGTCCTGGATCCATGGGAGGAACAGTCAGTACGAGGGGCTCCATGCACCACCTACCTATGATGTTTACATGGCTCTTTATTTTTAATTTTAATTCAATTTTATGTGTATAGGTGTTTTGTCTCCATGTGTATTTGTGCAGCACTTTTGTGCCTGGAGTCTACAGAGGCCAGAAGAGGGTGTCAGATCCCCCTGGCACTGGGGTTCTGGACAGCTATGAGCCACTGTGTAGGTTCTGGGAATTGAACCTGGGTCCTTTGGAAAGAAGCAAATCCTCTTGACAGCCAAGTATATATATATATATATATATATATATATATATATATATATATATATATATATATATGTATATCACTCTGCTCTAAATGCCAGCCAAACTGCACTCCCACCTAGAGGCTGGACTGGAGCAGCGTCCACCTCCAGGCTCCCAGAGTTTGATGGTGGACTACAGTTTCATAGATGCAGGACCGAGAGCCCCTACCCTCAGATGCTCGCCTCGTGGGCACCTCCTATGGCTTCTTGTTACTTCACAGTCAGCCACAGAGCTTAGGATCCTTCCAGCTGCTTCTTGGACAGTCTACAAACCACAAGTTCCACTGTGGGATTCACTCTTCTGAAGTGAGGGACAGCTTCCCAGCTGTCCATATAAATCATGCAGAAGTTTCACATTACTTCATTCATTAACCCAACAGATTCCCCTCTCTATAGAACAAATATAATAATAGTGCCTATTTTATAGCTTTCATGAAATGAGTTAATGTATGTAGCTCGTGTGAGTAGCATTTGCATATCAGTGTATGCCATTATCATTGACGTCATCTGTAGTGTTATTTATTAATATGGCACAGACGATGAGCTGGCCTTTGGAAGTACAGAGATGTGTAAGATGAAGACCTTGCAGCCGGGTCCTCATCTACTTACCTGAAAGTCGAGTTCAGAATGGAGAAATCAGGCCAGGAAGATTAAGGGTTAGAAAGCAGACATTCGAGGGCCACACACAGAAGGTGAAAAAGCACATTCTAGACAAGAGAAGGACAAAGCTGGGGGGGGGGTGTCACAAAAACACCAGGTCCAATGGCAACCTTTGTCTGCTTGGTGTCTCGGCAGGCAGTTGGTTGGAAGGAGAAGCTATAATCCACTCCGCCCATTGTATGTCAACTACAGGGTTGTGCCAGCTACTGCAATAAAAGTAAACTGTGTGTGCAGTCAGTCACCCTAGCCGGAAGCAGCAAATGCAACCGTGGTATTAGAGACCATGATAATATTTACTTATGGCTTCAGTAAGACTGTAACTCATTGAGCAGTTAGATGTGACTGCTCTTCTTTCTACAGGCTGGTGGGAATGGGGCAAATGGTCTCTGTTCCCCCTGGAACACGGTTCCTTTTTATGGATGGAACAGGATACAGCTAAGATCTCTGGGAGCAAAAAAGAAGAGGGTTGCCCTGCCTTGTATGGAGCAGTTGCTTCAAATTAATTCCTTGGACATCAGCCTAGGCCTCCAGACAAAGATGTCATTTAGAATGAAAGCCTGGGCGTTTCTTCATTAAGATCTTGTTCAGGATGAAGGTAATATGAGCGTGGGGCTTGGCTTATGTTGTGGTATGGTGGATGCCGGTATATTTCAGTCTGTGGCCAAACTCACAATTCCTTCTTTTCACCTCTGCACTTAGAATGACACCAGCAAATAACCAAATATTTACTGTCTTTGTGCTAATAATAAACCACTGACCACTAGTTAATAAAACTGGGTAAGAAATGGCTAACTCTTCAAAGGGAGAGCAGAACTCATAATACAGTGGCTCACAAGGGTCCTCATGTGGAGAGCACCTTAGGATCACTTCTAAAACAACGTGGTACCAATGGAATTTCAATTAAGAAACTGCTCAAACACTGTGGCTATAGCAATGACTAATTTCTCCCCCAAGCCCTCTTTCTAGCTAGTGAATACATCTTATTTTTATTTTTCTGGCTTGAAAGGATGCAAAAGAATTCTGTCCCACGCTTCTGCTGAGCTCCTCTGCTGAGCTTTATCAATTAATGTTTTCAGAGTTGTGGTGGTATTGTGTTCCCCAAAATATTGTGCACCCTAATAAATTTATTTGGGGTCAGAGACAGAACACCAGATACAAAGGCTAGAAAATGGTGGCACTCACACCTTTAATCCTAGCATTCCAGGGGTAGAAATCCCTCTGGATCTCTGTGAGTTCAAGGCCACATTGGAAACAGCCAGGCGTGGTGACACACACCTTTAATCCCAAGAAGTGAGCCTTTAATCCCAAGGAGTGATGGCAAAAACAAAAAGATATATAAGGCGTAAAGACCAGAAACTAGTAGCACTTGGCTGGTTAAGCATTTGGCTGGTTAAGCTTTCAGGTTTTCGAGCAGCAGTTCAGCTGAGATTCATTCTGGATGAGGACTCAGAGGCCTCCAGTCTGAGGAAACAGGATCAGCTGAGGAACTAGTGAGGTGAGGAAGCTGTGGCTTGTTCTGTCTCTCTGATCTCCCAGTGTTCACCCCAAATAACTGGCCTCAGGTTTGATTTTATTAATAAGAACTTTTAAGATTCATGCTACGCTGCGTGATTGTGGCCGTGTCAAGTTCTTGACCAGCCTAACCCAGGGTGCCTTGATTTCCACCATTGGTATTGTCCTCTAAGCTAGTGATACGTAAGCCTGCATCAAGTTCACTGTTCGTTTCTTGGGATGGAGAGAGCTGAAGCATCACCCTGAGGCAGGCAGGCCTTGTGAAAGCTAAGTCTCGGTGTTTACTACCCCAGATACGTTCTTTGAATGCCCCTGAGTTTAAAGACCTTAAAAGAACAATATCTCTTCCCTCTAAAACAATACAAATACTTAATTGAGATGATGTGATTGCTTCCTGTTGGTTGGTGTGAAGGTATTCAGGGTGTAGTAAAGCAATCCATAATTATCAACTATTCATGTCATAGTTTGATTAGAAGGCAGGCAAAGGAGAGTGCAAGGACGAGCCGTTGGGAAGTGCATGGATAAGGGAGGGCGGAGTTGTACAAGAGGCTATAGCAGAGGGATACAGACTGATTTCTTTGAATCATCATCTCTCAAAGACTTAATATTGGCTGTTGACAACCCGTGCTGATGACTTCCACAAGAGCATCATATCTGTTCCCCATCCAATTTCTAGTATTCAGTGAGCTTTTTCCCCCACTATAAGAGTTTATTAGGGGGAGAGGAACATAGTCAATATTTTTAGGACACTTGATAGACGGCAGAATAGTGGCTCCTGAATAATACAAATGTCCAGGTCTGCGTAATGTGTGACTATCTACCATATTTGGAAGAAGGGACTTCACAAATGGGACCAAGATTCTGAACTTTGATGTGATGCAGAAAATCTCTGGATTTTCTGGCAAATTCTTATTTACCCGAGTGAGCCTTTAACAGTGGAAGAAGAGAAAGAGTCAGGCAAGAGATACAGCAAGATAAGAAAGGAGACATTCGGGGTTGGGGATTTAGCTCAGTGGTAGAGTGCTTGCCTAGCAAGCACAAGGCCCTGGGTTCGGTCCTCAGCTCTGGGGGTGGGGAAGAAAGGAGAGATTCATACTCTAGAGGAACTCATGCTGTCCATAAAGGCAGAAGAAAGTGGTCATGAGTCAAAACACACCTCTGCAGCCTATGTAAGACCCTCAGCTCATAACTAACAGGGCAAGGGGCACCTTGGCCTGACAACTGCATAGAGCTGGAACCTGACAACAACCCGTATTTGCAAGGAAATGTGTTGTCCCCAGAACAATTCAATCCACAGAAGTAAAACAAAAACCGTGATTTAGCCGGGCATTGGTGGCGCATGCCTTTAATCCCAGCACTTGGAAAGAAGAGCCAGGCGAATCTCTGTGAGTTCGTGGCCAGCCTGGGCTACCAATTGAGTTCCAGGAAGGCACAAAGCTACACAGAGAAACCCTGTGTCAAAAAAACAAAAAACAAAAAGCAAAAAACAAACAAACAAACAAAAAACATGATTTCACTCATTCACCTTTCAAATAGTCATGAAGCAACTATAATGAGGAAGTTCCTGAGTCAAAGGCATGAATAAGACCCAGTTTGAGCTCTCAAAATATTTATAGGAAGATAATGGGAGAGCCGGGAAAAGGGTTCAGACTCTCAAAACAACGTGTTCTGCCTTAATTCTCTGAACTACTCAACCTCTCCTCTTGCCTACTATTTCAAAACAGTTAGTCACAGTGGAGGTGTGTAATGTTTTGCCAACTCTTTGGCATGGGTCTAGTGCAAGCAAGCAAGCAAGCTGGAGAAAGGCACTGTTTGCCCATCCTTGGTCTGACTCCCTTCCTGTGGGGCTCTAGCCATTTCATAAACACCCTCATCAGACTGCTGCTCCCCAGTGACACAGTGACATCATTTCCACTCAGAGGTGTGCCTCAGAATCATCTGGAAGGCTTATTAAAGCACACGTTCCTGGACCAATCTCCGAGGGTCTGACTTAGTAGATGTGGGTTGGGATCTGAGAAGGCATTTCTTACCAGATCCCAGATAATGCCTCCAGTCCACAGGCTGCACTCTGAATGTGTTTGGCATGTTGTTCCTGGGTTATCAGTAAATAAGGCTGGTGGAGCCGTGATAGCTAGAAGGAGACAGAGCTCAGAAAACACGCCATCTACTTCATCATTGATGATGTACTTTTGGATGTGTGAGCCCCAATAGTCCTCTACATGGATCCTTTCTATATTTTAAAAAATACTTCACTTTTTTAAATGTATGAGTTTGTGTGTGTCTTCATGAGGTATGCGTACCAAGTGTGGGCAGGAGCCCGTGAAGGCCTGAAGAGGTCACCAGATCCCCTGGGATGAGAGTTACAGGTATTTACAAACTGTCATGTGGGTGCTGGAACTCTTAAGTGTCTCTGCAGCCATCACCGTCCAAGTTCTTCCCCACTGCCATGCATGCTCTAACAACCTGGACTGTTCTGAAACTTGCTACAAACCCAGACCACTGAGAAAGACCAGATATACGGGCACTGGAGACATGGATCAGTAACCAAGGGCCTTGATTACTCTTCCAGAGGACCCGAGTTTGATTTTTAGCACCCACATGGTGGCTCACAACCATCTGTAACTCAAGTTCCTCTTTTGGCCTCCCGAGTGAGCCTAGGCAGGGACATCGTGCACAGGCATGCATGCAGGCAAGACACCCTTACATATAAAAAGGAGTTTAAGAAAGAGAGAAAGAGAGAGAGAGAGAGAGAGAGAGAGAGAGAGAGAGAGAGAGAGAGGGAGGGA